GAGTCATATATGGCTCGCGAACCATAGGTTGCCGATCCCGGTATCCAAACGATTACTGGAGAGCTCTACGTCGTAGTCGTAGTACTATTACCACCGACACCTTGAAACGATACGCTGAAAGCCAATTGGAAAGTACTCGTATAAAGATGGGAGAGCGTCAAGAGTGTCGCGAGTGCCAACGCGCTGCCGTTCTGGACACTATAGCAGACGAGGAAAGGCAGGAATTCATCAGCTATACGCAGGTCATAGGAACAAAACGTGGAGATGCAAAGAGATCGTCACTCCTACAAAAGGTGGACGAGCGGAAAACACAAGCAAGGCAACCCGAAGATACAGCTCGATACGTACACAACTACTCCCCTATGATGCTTGATAAAACATCAGTTGAAGCTTTTTCTCTTGGTCCAAAGTTCTGCATACCTACCCGAAAGATTAATCAGTTAGAATTGGAAACCCAGTTCGAGAATCTGCATAACCAAACTTATGAGCTAAAGCCTATCTCTGCAGAAAGTGTCCAGCACTTAAATCAACACTGGTGAATTTTAGTTACCAGTACTTGAACCAGAAACCAACAAGCCGGGGAGTGCTGACAAAAGCATGCATGAAGAAGTTAAAGCAGCTGCGAGTAAACAAAAACATCCTGGTTAATAGGCCTGATAATGGAACGGGTGTCGTTATAATGAACCGACCAGACTACATAAGAAAGATGCAGACCATCTTATCAGATCAGACGAAGTTCAAGAAAGTAGACAAATAAATGAATTGCACGGATGATATATAGGCATAGACTACCTAAAAAAAGCTCCACATTGGAAGTTTCATTAGCGACCGTGACCTCGAAGGATGGCCTGCCAGTTCATCCGATTCTGGACATGCGCACCTCACCCTACCGTGCGATAGCAAAGTCGTTGGCGGATAAACTCAAACCCCTACAGCAACAGCTGGCACCACGAAGCTATCAAGGTGCCTTTGAATTTATCGAAGACCTCAAGGACAAACTTAAAAAGCTTGAAGATGCGCTCTCGCTTTTTAAAAACGTCCCGGTCACTGAGACAGTCGATTATATCCTTGAGTTCTTGTCGGCTAATCACATAAAAGTAGGAATTCCAGCAGATGCATGAAATGAAGTACTACTCAAATGCACAGTAAATGTGCAGTTTTTGTTTGACAACCAGCTATATAGACAAATAGACGGCGTCACCATGGGCTTGCCTCTTAGGTCTCTCCTGGCCAATATCTTCGTGGGCAAGCTGGAGAAGTTTCAACTCAGCGACCAGATTCATAAGTTAAAACATTACGGTCGCTACTTCGATGATATCTTTGTCATTGCTCCAGCAGAAATCGACGTAGATGCGCTTCTAAACACCGTTAATCAAGCGCGCCCCTCTGTTAAGTTCTCATTGGAGGCGGAAACGACAGATTCGCTTCCTTTCTTGGACGTTCTACTAAGCAGAAGACCTGACGGTAGCGTCCGAAGGAACGTTTATCGGAAGAAAACTTAGTCCGGAGAGTATATGAACTTGAACAGTTTCGTACTTATCCAACAGAAGCGCAGTTTAGTCCGCTGCTTAATGCAAAGGGCTAGAAAAATCTGCTCGGCAGACACAATTGAGACAGAGTTTAAGAGAATCCAGGACCTGCTTCGAGAGAATGGGTATCCTGACAGATTCATCCAAAAGAAAATGATGGAAAAAAAAAACCAAACCCACCACACCCACCATGTAAAAGAAGACACTGTTCCTCAAAGTCCCCTTTCAGGGGATGCAGTAAGTGAATTCTTAAGCAAGCGCCTTAACCAAGCCGTGTCACGAACCTTCCCAGCAGCGAAAGTTTGGGTGTTATTCTCAACTAACTCAGTCCTGCATGGCGAAGGCAAGCATAGGCTGCCAGCTCAGACCACTTCTATGTGCATTTACCCATTTACTTGTTCCTGTTGAGCAGGTTATATCGGTCACACGAGCCGGCTTTTATCCAAAAAAATACGGGAGCACCTCCCAGCATGGCTGAGCAAAGGTGAAGTCAGGAGTATAAACAGCGCCATTCTTGCCCACATGGTTGATTCCGGGCATCGTGTGAACCACAACGAAGCCTTCAAGGTGATTTACAAGGTCCCACCAAACTACCCAAAGTCTTTGGGTCAGTGGTTGCTAGCAACAGCAGAAGCAATCGCCATCCGGTTGAGGAAACCAGTTTTGTGAGCGTAGAAGAAACTCCTGCAAGCTCCAAGCCTAGCACGACCAACGGCCACATAACTACCGGCATTTTCTACGTTCTCTCTCCCTCTTCTTCCCCGTTTATTGCCGCGTAACTAGCCGCCTATTACCAACCTCAACCCCCTCTCATATTACCATGACTAATTTGCCTGTAACTATGACTATACTTACTTGCAATTTACCATGTACATTGTACCCCTTCCTATATAAAGGTAATTGGTCAGATGAGAATTTTTCGAAAGTATACGTATGCGCGCCACCTGCTCTTCTGAACTCCTGTAAGAGTTCGAAAGCTCGGGATAATAAACAAAGTGATCCGGTGCTCGACCATCCTTCTTCCCCACCCATGCAAATACCTAGAACGCGAACGTTCTTCATTCGTGAACTTATTAACCCAACAGAAGAACAAATACACTCCCTCTCAAGCGTTGCTTACCACCAATCGCTGTTTCTGTCTGAGACCGCAGCTCAGGTCCCTGCGTGTCAGAAATTTCACATACCATTTTCTTCCATCACCCGCTAGTCGGGGCTCGTTCCGACGAGTTTTGCCTTTAAATGACACCCGTTCCCAAGCCTTTAAAAGAGCATACTGCATAAATTGTGCTAAATCTGTTTTGCAAAAGTGACAGCGTTTGATAAGTAAAAATCATGGAAACAGGCATTGCTCAAGTCGGTAAACTAGGACCTTTTAGAGAAATAGTCTCTCCTACTAAATAATCAGGCGTATATAAATCAGGTAGATGAAAAGGATTTTGTAGTAGGTTTTCGTCCTATGGCAGGCATTCATATGGCCAACCCATGCGCTTCAGAAAATCACCCTTCGGATGCCCTTTGTCAGCCCTTTCAAACAGACAGCACTGGTGACCGGAACGCCAGCCAATCAGACCGCTTGTCGTCTTGGGGGGAGGCGTGGGAGAAGGGACTGGCTTCAGGTATTCAATCGTTGGTTTCGGCAGTGGAAGTCTCATCGAATCAGGCAATTCTGCCTTTGGTCGGGTTTTGTCATGCAGCGCTTCAATATCATCGCCGAGTACCTCTTTTTGCGTTTTAGTTAGAAACAGCCAACGCGTAGGCCAGATTTGTGCGGTTTGTGTCTCCTTGCGAATACGATCCTTCCTAATAAGGCACAACCCCGGATAAAACAAGGTCAGGAATACCTACCACACAAGGTCTTTACTGAATGCGTCCATAACCTTATTGGCGAAAAGCACTATAACGTTCCCGACTGCGCGGGTTTAGTCGGCACTTGGATCGCCTTTGGTCGGAAACCTGGGGAAAAAAGCAGGAACGTTAGAATAAGAGCTATGACCGCCCAGCAAGAAAAACGGTTCACACCGATAAATGGTAGTCAAAAGTTTTAGAAAAAAAAACGTCCCTGAAGAGGGAAAGGAAAGATTTACAACTTCGGCGCCCACATATATGGCCATAATACGTTCAAGAGGTGTCTGGATAGTCAGCTGTCACAGGTCAACCAGAACTTTCCAAAGATCGTTTAAGCAGTTATTGTGATAACTATAATTATACTTCTATCTTGATTTCAGCAAATCTTTTTGTTTTCATTAACTTCATTGCTGATAACTGCATAGTGCAAAAGCAGTGAATTAGATGTGGGGTGTTATTTCGCAAGGTTACGCTTCAGTATTAGTTTTACGCATTTTACATATTAAAACTGCCTTTAAAATATTTGCAGCTAATTAAATTTTAATGCGGACCTGTGCGGTTCAAGGGCTACTGTCATTTACGCAAATAAATTGAGTAAAACTGATTGAGCACCTCTACAACTCAATTTTCTTAATCGCCTAGTCAACTTTGACACTAAAAGGCGAATGAACTGACGCTATTTAGTATAAAGTAATTGCAATTCAGTGCATTCGTTTCGCTGCCACCACCACCGGACTCAACGAAAACAGGCAGTAATTTGAAAATGCGTCATACCCGCTTGAAAATAGCCTTTAATCCCGTATGGTTTTGGGATGCAGTCCTATTCGGGAACCTAGACATTTATCAGAAGCTCTCACATATTTTCTTTTTACAGAGCCAAGAGTTCGAAAGTGCGGATGTTGGGAATGCGCTCATTCCCACCACCACTCTTCTTATAGAGAGGCCCCCGAGTGCAACTCCACGCCGCTGTGATGAGAGCGTGCGCGCCGTGGCTATCGAGTTTTCATCAGACCTGATCGTTCCCCTGTCGCTGACGCCTATTCATGAAGCGGATTGAATAAATACCCTGCAGCCTCTGTGTAAGAGTGATTTGCTTGACTTTTACTGTGTGTGAGCGCACTTCTCCTCCTGTTCGATTGATTTCTCTTACTCTCTCATGTTGGCGTTCGGAAAAAACAGTCTGGCTACTTCAGAGTTTGTGCTAATTAAAAGAACCAGGCGCGGGTCGTGACAGCGGACTAATCAGCTCACTTTCTAAATCAGGGAGAATATATACATGATTGGGATTGGAATTTATAGTGCGCACAAACACATCATGCTTTCTAGACCACCAAACGAGTGCTCTTTTGTCAAATCCTGCAGTGCTGAACATAAGTAAAGCCTTCAGTGAGGCACAGTGTACGTTGAGGAACGTTTTTATCGTCAAAAACGAACATTCGAGACAAAAAACAAGATGCAAACAATCGTTTTATCAATCACAGCAAACTGTGAGAACTGAGTAAATTTTAGTTCTCGAAAATGTTTTCTACCGGACAAATTTGACGTGATGATCTCATAACGTTTCGACCACGTCCAGTTCAATAAGCCTACTCGCTATTGCATACTATGAATCACGCGACGTAGATCTTAAAGCGCTAAAATTATATATTTCCTCTAGCTTAAATATTCAAGATACGCATTATTGCTTAACGATAATAGTGGAGTCATTACCAAACGAGATGCCAGAGGATTTGCGGTTTGGTACGCTTCGGTGGCATTATAAACTACTTTAATATAAAATGTATTCCAATATTCTCACAAAGCCCATATATTTAAACGTTTTCTTTGTGCTGGATGTCTGAATATATAGTAGGAGGGTTTGTAGAATGCCAAACTGGACAAAATCTTTCAAAAAATGTTCACAGCACTTTTATTGTAATCAAATAGGACCATATAGTAATGTAATCAATTATAAAGAGTTACCATTAGGAAAAAAAGAGCCCAAACAGAATCTTGCCTTACACAGACGCAGAAAAAACAGAAATCAATAGGACAGCATATGCACAAGGACGTTTGAACAAGAGTCAGGGTAATGGCGTGAGAATACGCTTATTATTACAATGCATACAGTAAAGAAATATGATTAAGGTTTAGCGTTGGTCCGAGAGAGGATGCGGACGATGCAT